AAAAAAGTAAACAAATGCAATATAATAATGGGTGCTTTTCTTCCTTATATTTATATTTTATATTTCTGATGAACTCACTCGTAAAGCAACTACACGCTAGTCATTACTCCATTCACTATTTTCCTAACTCCACCCAGCTGGAAACTAAGAAAGCTAAGAAGTATAGGATTGGATTCTAATTTCTTAGGAGCAAAATTGTAACAGATATGGTTTTAACTATGTTTTTCAGGAAGGATTGGTAGTTAAAATATTGTTAAAGGGCATTTTGAAGAATACTGAAGTATAAGTCAAAGTGCTACTCAGATTTCCAGATTCTTTCCTTAAATGGAAAACAAAACTCTAGTCCAGTTTCATAAACGCCATAATTCATTTTTAAGATCTGGATTCCTGAAACTGCTGGAATGCTGAAGTTCATCAAGTCTTCAAGTCTCACAGCCAAGCAGCACTTTAACCGACCTTATCTCCAGGAATCAGGACTGTTCTCTTTGTAAAAAGTTCAAGGATAAATAAAAGGCAAGTATGTTTTCTTGACCTCGGCCAAGAGAGAAATATTAGCTCTACATATTAACTCTGGTTAGAGACATATGTACATATAGACCCTACATACACACAGAGCACTTCAGAAGGTCTACAAGACTCTGTTTTATATTATATTAGAGCCTTGCCAGTCACAAGAAGAATTTCTCCAGGTCACCCAGACCACATGAAATGAGTTACTATGCTGAAGCTCATCAAAAATGGGCCTCCTTCAATATCCCTCTCTGTAAGCAAATCAGTTCAATGAGGACTAGCAGCAGCCACACAGTCTCATGCTGAGATGTGGGTGCAACTTCACTGTGAATTCTGTTAACGATGCCTGTTACCTTGTTGGACTGATGATATCAGCAAATGATGTGATTTCTTCTGCCCAAGGGGGCTAGAAAATATCTATTCCATTGAACTTTAAAAGGCAGACCTGTCAAAGGGCAAGTCCCTGGGGCAGACATCCAGCATCAGCTTACCAAGACAAGAATATGACCTAACTTCAAATCAGTAAAGAGCAGGTGGCTAGATCAAATTCTTCCCCATTACCAATTCACTGGAAATAAGCTCTGTAAAAACTGCTCTTCCAAGAGTACATCATATAAAATCTATTTGTAACAAATACTGATCCAATTGACAATGCAGCTGCAGCTGCTTTGATAACCAATTGGATAAAGTTCCTCCAGTGCCACCCTTAGGAATTCCAACAGTATCTTCAATGTCCAAAATAAAATGACCTGTTCACTTGGTCCATCCACAAGATGACTCACTCAACTCGTACCCAATAATAATTGTGGAAGAGGCAGCTTTTCAAGTGATTTATATCTTCTTTAAATACACTTTCAAACCAAATTATATTTCTCTAAACAGTCAGTCCAAGATTATACAGTGGATGAACAAATTCAAGCAGCCATTGACCATCCAGAAGCTACAGTGCTGATTATCACTCTGCCCCATAATCTCCCACACTTACCTTCACCTTCTGGTACTTTCAAGCAAATGTAATTCTCCATGCTTACTACTATCAGGAGTCACAGACTTTCAATGCAGGTCCATTTGGCAGCCCTTCTCAAATTACAGGTTCCTTATAAATCCAGCTACTTAAAATCAGTACCTTCTACCTTTCCTCAACATGAAGCTCTTCAGGAAATGCATCAAAAGAATGTGTTTCTAACCATAAACAAATATAATCTAAGTTCTAATCTTGTTACAATCTAGAACTACTATAAGAGAAATTTTTTTCAGCAATAGCATAATCCAATGATTCATTTTACAAATTTTAAATCAAAATCAAAACTTACGGCAAGCTACAAGCTCATATGTACAAGTAAGCAACTACAAAGTTACCTAGTTGATGGTCACTACAAGGTAATTAGAGCTGATTTAGTGCTCTTCCACTGTCAGTAACAGGCATTTGGAGAAGAGGGGACTGAGGGGAGATCTCATTGCAGTCTTCAGTAGCTTTGTGAGTGGAAGGAGAAGAGCATCTCTTCACTCTCATGACCAGTCAGAAGACTCAAGAAAATGGCATGAAGCTGAGTCAGGAGAGGTTTAGGCTGGATATCAGAAAAAAGTTTTTCACCCAAAGGATGGTTGGGTATTGGAACAGGCTCCCGAGAGAAGTGATCCCAGCACCAAGCCTGACAGAGTTCAAGGAACATTTGGACAATGCTTTAAGGCTAAGAGCTGGACTCGATTCTTGTGGGTCCCTTCCAACTCAGGATATTCTATGATTCTATGATTTTCTTATTTAGCAAAGACTAAATCAGCTCAACTTAAGTCCTGTGTGCTGTAGTTTAAGATCATGCACAGACACATTTACCATGCTCAGGAGAGGAGCAATAGCTTACTCTTTCATACTAATTTGCTTGAATGTTTGGGGCCATACTCTGTCATTTACTTATCTTTGCATCTGTTTCCTCATTAATAAATTAAACATAATCCTTCTTTCCTCTTGTCAGTCAGTTGATTGTTCTCAGTATTCACAAGGGCTCTGTATATATTATCATACATGCAGTTGAAATACTACGCATATTAGTGCTTCTAGACAATTGTTTCACAGTATTAAAAACAAAAGTTGTAAATTCCAGTCAAACTTGTAAAATATGGAAGTCACAAAAGAGTACAGATAAATCATTCATTCACAATTCCATGAAAATTGGTCTCCTATAAAAAGAAAAAATCCCCACACAATCTTTTAAGAATGTAAGTAAAATAAGCAATCTGATGAATATTAGTTGGCAGTGGATCCTGATAAATTTAAGAAAATGATTCTTTGTAACTTACAATTTAGTAATATTTGCTTTTTTTCATAATTTTGCTACTCTTCAGAAAGATATAATGAAATGTTTCTTAGCTCCTGCCTATCCACCACAAGAAACAAACAACCTGTGCTGAAAGGATTTAAAAGGGCGGTTTCATCATGAAAAGGTCACAAAGAAGTAACAAGGTCCTGCCAACTGCAGCACCTTCTGGCTTAGGCAGGGGAATGTCTTGCTTTCTTTATTACTTGATAGAGACTGATTCTACTATTCTCATTTCATATAATAATTTGTATCTGCACTTAACTATAGAAGACTACTTAATTAAAAATATATTAAGAACTCAACACGATTAGACTATGTCAGGTACAGGTTTGTAATTAACAGCTATGTGCATAGCATTTTACCTCTTGCCTGTAGGGGTTTTCAAGGCGCAAAGTGCAACAGTAAGAAATAAAAACATATTGCATAAAACAAATTCTTTGAATGTAACATCTGTGTAATTGTTCAATCTTTGCATGAGGTTTTGGCTGGTTTTATAAAAACAGGTAATGACTGCCATGGCTTCATAAGAGTCTACCAGCAGCACAAATGGCTGGTTATTAGTACCATCACTAACTAGTGACAGCAGTAGTCAAGCTGCTCCTACAGAATAACTGTCTATAGTACTACCTGAAAGTATGTTTGCAATATTTTACATACATGGTGTTAAACTAAAAACTGACCATGTCTTCTGAAGTTGTAGCATGTTCCTACACTGTGCCTTGGAAAATGCTTGGTAGTATTTAAAAAAGTGTGAAGTATCTTAAATTGAACTTTTCATTGTCTAAAACAAGGCTCTAATTATTTTAAAAGTTAAAATTTCATTGATGATTAGTTCTGCTTTCTGTTAGTAGACACAGAAATGACTCTTATAAAAATATTAATGACTTTTCCTTGTTTTAATTAGCATGCACATTAGTATGGATATAACTTAGATGCTTGTCATGTTTTAAACATGGAGTATGTCCAGCAGTCCTTTCCAACCTAAAGCACTGCATGTTCCTGTGACAGTCAGTGGTGATAGAAGAGAGGATGAGTTAATTAAACGCACCAGACAGCACAAGAACAAGAGCTGACTAACTCTTCCAGTAGGGGGGGATGTTCTTTTACAGTTTATCAGCAATTAAAAAAGGATAACCAAATGACATCTGTATCTTTTTAACAAAATCAACTGCATAAGGCAAACTGGTACATGTGCCTTGGTAGCAACTATCTCCAAAAGAAAGTTGCACGAAAATCATTAAAAAAAAAAAAAAAAGTCACTGCAAATGGTTCTGTGAGTAAAAATACAATATTGTTGCTCGTCTTCCTCCCCAAATAATTATGTTTTGACCCAGATAATTTCTGTGATCCCTGTCAATAAAACAGCACTTGCTGTTTTTCAGTACAGCTGAAGGTGCAGTAAACTGGGAACGTGTTTAGACTAACACCTTCATCTGGATTTGTCACCAGAAAAACAGTTGTGAATCTACACCACAGGGCATGTTTTAAAGTGATCATGGTGACAACAGAAATTCCGCTTATTAAAATGCATGGGATTTACTACTGAGATATTTGGATATCTATATGACTGAGTCATTCCTGAAGACTCCTTTTATTGTCTTTATTAAAATCAGAACTTACCTAGGTAGAGTCTAAGACTTAAAATGTAAATTTCCAAACCAACTGAGTTTAACATGGGATGAGAGGTGCCCATTTCAACTAGATGAACAATTCACATATGGGCATGTACAGTAGAGGGATATGAATTTGATGAGGTGATTCTTCCCTAGTCTGTCAACACAGAGGTGGGTTAAAGCCTCCTTGTACCTCCTTGTACCTAAAGGTACCTTGTACCACTCTTCTGCAACACTTGATCAGTGCAGTCAGGACAACTTTGAAAAGACTAACATTATTTTCCCCATTTTAGGCAGAGGAAGTACTAGTAGGTTCACCAAAGTCAGTCAGCAGCTTCTGCAAGAATCACAAAAAAATTGCAAAACAGTTTGGATTTCTAGCTGCTAGCCTTGCTAAGTGAACAGAAATCTTTACTGCTGGCAAAGAATCCAGGTCACTTTCCACCTCTAAAGCTGCCCATCAGTAAAGCGCCACACTTCATACCTTCTAATGCTTTGGACGCTAGCACTCTGAAAACAGATGCCACTTTTACTTTAATAGGGCTGTGAGGAGACTCACCTGCAAATACAACTCCAAACCTTGTCGTCGCTGCTCCAGGACCTTGGGGACCCAGTTTCTCACATGCTTTGAAGGTATCTCTGGAGTTCTTATGAATTTCTTGAGCTGCGAACAAAAAGAAACAAAGATAGAAACAAATTATAATACTGTTCCTTTGAAGTAACCATGTTTATGTTAGAGATGAGGCAGTACAGGTGAAATAATCATGCATAAAGGACAACAGCATGGAAATGAAGTTACTCACTATCAGTTCTCTGAAGTAACAACAGACATCATACCTACAACAGTGCAGTTAAAAATCTCCACATCTAGTTGCCTTGGCCAATGAAGAGAAACCTACTAAAAATTCGTTGTGACTGATAGCCTGAAAACAAAATGGCAACAACTAAACGAAAATACTTGAAATTTGAGTTCCCCATTAGCCAACCAGGGATTATATCTCACATCATCACTGCAACACACCCAGACATTGCCTAGCTAAGTGCAGTGACAACACACCATGACAACTTCTATCTCCAGACTTAGGCAACTATGATCAGGTGTGAGAAGTACAGGTGGTAGAGCTAACCATTTCTGTGGAGAGCTACTAATCAAGTGAGCAAAATATCTGTGCTCTCAAATTACAGTAACAGATTGGCAGCCTGTGTTTAATATCCTATACAGAGAAACAGCAAGATTGCCACTGAATATATTTCAAAGAGAGCTCCCTAACTATTCCTCTAAAGATAACCACAGGAAAGCTTTTACGTATATATATATGTATGCATACATATGAGTGTATATAGATGGACACAAACATACAACCTGATAACACTAAAAATCCTCCTGCTGAAGCAACATATATTTTCAAAATCAAAAAATATTAATGCTTTCCTTAAAACTACAGAGCAAAAGTAATAACTGAAATAGTCTCTATAACATTTTAATAGAAGGTGGCATTAGACATTCTTTCTGTTGGATATTGCCTCTGAGTAAATCTGAGGCAAAGAATGCATGGAAAGAAACTCAAAATTGACTTTGACATGCATACCCATGGGAGACTAAGAATTTACATTTCATCTTTGGGCTTGCTGAGATGTCACTACAGGAAAAAGCAGTGGCAACACATCAACGTCTCCACAGTCACAAGTATCGAAGCTGCAGCAGGGGAACTTCAATTGCTCTGGAAACATTTTGCAACTTCCTTAATTCGTAACAGTGCTAAATCACAATTAAAAGTGAAGTGAGAAAAACAACACTCTGAAACAAAACTCCAAACCCATGTACTTTAACTGACTGATCTTAAAGACAGAATATAACCACCTCTAAATTTTCCCTCTAAATTGGTTGAGGATCTTGAAGAAACTACGGTCGCTGCTGTTGCGAACTCTGACAGCACCTGTAGATGAGGAACAAATGAGGAAATGTTCCAGATGAGCGAAGACAAATCGGATACTATACAAGGATCCACCAAGACCTCACTGCTTAAAATACTCTGTGGCTAGTAACTCAGCAGATAATTAAAAATCCTTCTGTGCTCTGAGGCGCTGTTATATGTAAAACACCCAAAAACCAATTATTTAATGTGCAAGCATATGCATTATGTGTGGGTACAGATGTATAAAAAAATATATTAAAAGCCCACTCTCTTATGCTTACAGTAATTCAATAATAAATACTGATGCAAATTATTATTACAATGTCAAGAAATATTAAGCAAAACCATATATGCATTAGCTGTATTGCTTCAGACTTGTCCCTACACAATAAATATTTATCTGAGGACAGGTACTGCCTTTAATACCTTCCTGTCCATACCACTGACCTAATGCTTGTCAACATCCTGTAGTTTCTATTTCTTGAAAGACTAAAAGATGGCTTAAATTATCAAGTGTAGAATTATTTGTTCAACTGTGAAAAGTTAATATGATTTAGTGTATACTAATTATTCAAAAATTATAAACAAATTGCAAAACAAGATGTGTAAAGCTTCAGATTATTGCATATTTCACTGCAGTAGTTGTAACACCGTCACCTCCTATCATTATTGTACTTAAAAAGAACTATCAATATTTAAAAATGTATAGGAAAAGAAATATAAAAAGATATTTGGGAATAAAGATGGACAAACAGGTTTTTTTACTGTTATATATCTAGAAAGAATTTCTTTCTAAAATCCTCTCCATATCAGAATAATACCATTTTTGTTCAAACTTAAATATAATACTGTAATGTGTGTGGTGCATAATCTGATGGGCAAGGTTTGTTGCTCATAATCAGAGAGAAGTATAATGGCTTATGAAAACTAGTTCAAAGATGCCAACAGCCACGGATGGTTTCTGTCAAGTGAATAATTTGCACTCCTCATGTAGCATGGGAGATCTTCAAAAGGTTTTAAACCTTTTCCACTACTGCCAGATTGCACAGGAAGTGAGGCTTTACTTTTTTACACAACTATGAAAGGTTGAACCCAGGAGTGGGGCAAATCCAGGCATGTTCTTGGAAATGGTTTTGTTTAAAAAAAAAAAAATTACACCCCCCCCTCCCCCCCCAACCACAGATTGGCATTCTGACAAATGATAAATGCCTTATATGAGCAATGGAGTCCTCCTTCCTCCATAGAATGCCAGTGAGGCATGTTCTTCTTCAGTGAAAGGCACAATCTCCCTATCAGCCTCTATGCCTATTTTCTACCACAGCTGTTCTCTACAGAAGCTTTGTTTCTCCCACTCACTACAGACATCTCCAACCCTAAGGGCACCTTGATTATGCATTAAGTCTGAAGAGCCCTTTCCAATTGCCATGTACTCACAGCAATTTAGAAGGAAACTTACATGTTAAATTAAAGGGGAAGAGAGGAACAAAAAATAAATGCCATATTGGCAGGCTGAAAGCAAACTGATGCAAATGCTTTCTCCAGGATTTCTGTAATACTGAAAGCAGTAAGCAAGGTTCGGAGCATGAACTGTTCAACTACAGTTAATGAAATTTTATTACAATTTCAAAAAGTAAAACTTAAAGAGAAAGGTATATTGTTGCCAAAATATGCTGGACACTTTTCATTTGTACAGGGCACAAGAAAGAAAGTCTCCATCTCTTTGCAGAGTAATATGAACAGATAGCAAGAGGATGAAAAGATGAAACAAACTGAAGAGTGGTGCAAAGTGCCTGGTTACAATACCTGTCCTTCAGGCTTGCTTTGCTGCTATTTCTGCAGAGAGAGAAAGGGAGCATCATTTGTTGTTTTTCTGGTGTTCTAAGGAGAAATCTCTGAAAGGGAAGTTACTTCAGAGGAAGTGGTGTACAACAAGACAAATCTGAGAGCGAGATTGCAGTCATTCATGACTTTGATGTGTAGTAATTGTGTAACTCCAGAAATTACAGTGAAGTTGGACAACCACTGTCCCATCTGCCTGGACAACTGGGAGGAGGCCAGTTATGTGATGCCATGCCTCCACCACTTCTGCTCCCCATCCATCCTGCAGTGGGCTGAGAACAAGCCTAAGTGCTCCCTTTCCAAGAAGAGGATATTATCAGTCCTGCAACATCACATCATCACACCATCTATGATACAACCATGAGTCATCTGCCAGGCAGAAGCAGCTCCAAGATATCCAACTGCCCAGGACCTCCATCATCCTAGAGTACTGCAAAGGTGGGCTGCAGAAGGAGTGCCCAGGTGTCCTGTGGGGAGCATCCAGACCCTGAGCCAGACGAACCACGCAATGATCATCCAGACATTGCAGCCCTGGATCCATCAGGAGATGGAGATATTTGGCACCAGTGTTGGAGATAGTCATGGTGGAGGATACCATTCCAACCAATCACAGGTTGGATGCAGAGCTGCTGGGCAGGATACTGGGGTTGCCCCTCCAAAACTGCACAGTTCCACTCAGGCAGCAGTGTGCCCAGTGTCACTGTGCAACACGGCAGCAGAAAGGCTCCCTTCTCTGCTGCTGCTGTTGGTGGGGTCCTGGCAGCCACCCCTGGTCTCCTGTTGCCATCACTGCAGAGCAAGAAGAGGTCCAGGAGGAGCCAGGTGAGGCTGTACCCAGGCCCTCCACTTTCAGATGGAGCAGTAAATGCTCCCATGAGGGGCCACAGCGAAGCCTGAAGAGAAGGGAAAGAGAGGCCCAAGCCCTCTCCAGCAAACAAGAGGCCAGCACCATGTTGGTGATGTTGGAAGGCCTTGGGACATGGCTAAATCAGGACTGGGCCATCAGCTGGGGCAAGTGCCAGCCCTCAAAGCTCCCAGCCCTAACTATCCAACTATCCAAATAAATTAAATGCACAAAAAGTACAGGTAAAGTATCAGTGTTACTAACAGTAACACAGAGTGCAGGTGGCATTGCTATCTTCACCCTTTCTGTCCTGGAAGGATGGGATGTTAATGCTGATGGGTCCTTCTGCTCATGCCAGATACTGTTCCATTGCTCCCCTAAAGGCAAATACTGCCCAGCTCCAGGCCTGCATCTCTGCAGGTGGTTCTGGGACAGGATTTCCTCACGGGGGTCTCCAGGGCCAGCCCGTACCCCACTGCTCATCACCTCAGGTGTGGTCTCCTCTTTACCACACCCTCTGCCCTGTGTCCCTGTGCTCTGTTCTCCTACCAACCTGCACTGTCCAGTGCACCCTCGCTATGGTGGTGCCCAAAAAACTCCTAGTGCCCACAGTCAAAATTTGGTGCGGCTCTCTACATCACCCCCAGGACCATACCCTCTTAAGGCTGGATCCCCAAGAAAGGGAGTTGCAAAGTCCTACCCTGGGAAGGGACAACCACACATGCAGCAGCTGCACAGATGGTGAACAGCCTGGGAAAGGTGACAAGGCTGCTGCCCTCAACCACAGGCTTTCTTCCTCCCCTTCCAGATCCAGCCTTGGTGCTGGCATTTCTTCTCCTCTGCTTGTAAAAGGATCCATCTTTGGCATGTGCTTGGCAGGTGGATGCCAAGTAGCTGAGGCGACTGGGTTTGCTTAGTTTGGAGAAAAGGATGCTGAAGGGTGACCTCATTGCTCTACACTTCCTGAGGAGGGGAAGTGGAGAGGGAAGTGTTGAGCATTTCTCCTTGAGATCCAGTGACAGGACATTAGGGAATGGCTCAAAGCTGTGCCAAGAAGGCACAGACTTGACATCAGGAAGCATTTCTTTAAAAAGAGAATGGTCAAACACTGGAACAGGCTTCCTCAAGAGGGAGTCAATGCCTCAAACCTGTCAGAGTTTAAGGGACATTTGAACAATTAGAAGAATTAGAATTAGAATTTCTAATTCTAATCTAAACGGCATTATACAATACTATACTATTCTAACCAGAGGAGATTGTGTCCTTGGGAAAAATATCTTTTAAGCACATAAATCCTGATTTTTCCCTCATAGTGTTTCCTAACCTATTTCATTGTATGAACTCTATTCACCTGCTTTACTTTCAGCTGCAGGATTACTCTCACCTGTAAAATAAAGCGCACACATATTGCAAGGCTTGGTGGTGGGTGAGTTATACTACTGATTCTGACACTTGCTCATGTTTTCTTATTCAGTGTTAACATGAGGGAGAAAATATCTGAGACAGATCTGAATTAAAACAAGGAATTAATTATCAAAAAGTGGTAGAAGATACCACTACTGGAGCAAGAAGCACTAGTACATCTTAATTGTAGTGCAGTAAAGCAAAATGTCTTTGGACTTTTGAGGGCCAACACACCGATGGGTCAATAGTTGCCTTTTCTTCAACCTAGTTTGCTTGTATCTATACATCTTAAAAGGCTGTAAGAATCATCCTCTCTGGCACTAGGATAATGTTTCTTCCCTGAATGAGAAGATTCCTGGTGTGTATAAACTCCTCTGACATTGCACTGGCAAAAGCTGTAAATACCTGTGCCTGTCTCTGTTGTTTGCAGACGAAGTTTTTCCATAGTGAAGGCTAACACAGTCAGAGCAGTTGTCTGTGCCCACACTGCACTGCCACTGAGACCTACACACCAAGAGGTGCTTAGTTCACTCAGATTCTAGGAATGAAGACTGAAGCTCTTCATTGCAGCCCCACTGCTGTTAATGGGCTGCAATGCTCTTGAAGAATTTTCTTTCACTAGGCAGGAAAACTACAAAACTTGCCTTTCAGCAGCATCCAGTTCAGCCTGGAGAGAAGTCATACTTTTCCTTTAAAAGTGATCAAAACAATTTAAAGAACAATTAGTGGATAATTAGCCTTGAAAGTACTGAGTTCCCATCTATATTTACTGAGATGATTCAGCAGAAAGGCTTATCAGACATTTTATATTATAATAATTGTATGAAGTGCAAGGGTGAGATGTTTACTCAGTCTTTTTCGTGTCTAGTTTCCTTGTGTACACAACTTGTTTCCTCAGCTCTACATATGGCAGGTTGGCAATACAATTTACAGAACTAACAAATAATTGGATTAAAAACCCCACTGCATTTATTTGCTGTTGGAATGTGTCTTATTTTGTGACTTTACAAGAAGACAAAAGCATACTACAGACAGTTAGCAATGTAGCATGTAAACAATAATCAGGAAGGAGAATTGGTAACGTGAGAAGTCATCGCCCCTTTCTACAAAACACAAAAACCTTAGTTAGGAATTAATTTCTAGAGACATGGATCACAAGATGTATTTAAGATAAACCATGTATAATAATAACAATTACAAGAGAGAGGAAAATGTCACAACTGAGGCAAAATAAAGCCACATATTATAAAGAAAATGATCAATACCTTTTTATGAAGTGCATGGAATTCACTATACCTCTTCTCCACAAAATGTTTCCTTCCACTCATCAACACTTCTATTTTAAAGACCTGAAAATTATAAATAATAAAAAAGAGATTAATGTTACTTGCACAAGCAGTTCTGTGACATGGCTGTGACGGTGCGTTTTACCACAGTCATTCTAGTAAGTGGTTCCAAAAAATCCAAGGTGTCTCATGAGGTGTAGAAGTACAATAGTGATTAATGTAAGTACGGCTCAATCTTCTATTAACAAGTTTGTTCAAAAACATACAAACAGACAGCTTAAGGCTGGACTGTATACTGTACATTAGAAACTAAGCATTAAAGTACTTTCTTTCAGAAATATTCAATACACTTTGAAGTAATTAAAAACAGAAAGAAAAAAGAATGGTAGGAACAGGAAAAAAAAGAAGACATAGAGTCTTCTCTTCTTCAAATCTTTTCCCCTTCTTACAACACAGCATACTAACACACTCATGCTTATTCAGCAACAACTGGATAATTTATGCATTAGGTTATGCATGCAAAAGGAGAAATAAATGCAAATGCTATATTATAGGTTAATTTCCTCCTAAACTACAAATTCATCTACAGTCTAAAGTGAGCTTATGTCACTATCTACACCCTAGGAAAAAACAAAACAAGATGCAAACATGGCAAATGCTTATTTTCTTTGTATGATACATGTGACAGCTTTTGTTGCTGCCTCTGGAAGGTTGAAAGGCCAGGAAAAACAGCTCTCTGGACCCACTAATTAGTAGTCACTAACATGACATTTTTTGAATTCTCAGGTCACTGTGTCAGTTCTGAGGGCAAGTGATGAGAAATTTTAAGGTTCTCAAGAACACATGGTCTATTAAATGAAGACAAAATCAGCAGAGAAGCATTACAGAAAAGGTGCCTGGTCTACCTAGGAGTTCTTTGTTTTCTGTTTCATTCAAAAAAATGCTGGAAATAATTATTTCCAGGACAATGAGAAACAATGCTAAGCACAGATGATCACATTAAGACCCAAACCTTATGCCAAAAAAAAGGTTCTTTGAAATAAATTTGCAAACAGTGTTTATGCCTGAATGCAGAAAAAAGGGTTTTCTGTCACAACATGCCCAGGCTAGCACTGATCAGAGCAAATATACAGAAACCATACTGGATAGAAACTTCCTATTGTCCTCTAGAACTTGCCTTTCAAACAGGTCAAAATGCTATGGTCTCCACTGGCTAGCCAAAACACATTAAAAACAGACAGCATTTTATTTAATCCAGACTGAAATGCTTCTACCTTTGTTTGAATGCAGTATGGATAGGACTGCAGTCATTTCACATCAAGTGTTTACATTTCCAAATTTAGTTTGGATCGCTGTAATAACTTGTGTTACACTCTACCTCTTTGAATAGGACAGTTTCTGTGTCCTAATCATTGCAAGCAGATGACCTTATTTGGGTGCATTGACTTCTTTCGTCCCTCCTATCTATTTGGAGTATCCTGGAAGAACAGCCAATGACTATTAAACAATTCTTCTCTACACACGAAAAAACTGCAAGGCACCCTCAGGAATACCTTGTAAGTTCGGAGTTGTAAAGAGAATCATATGCAAGGGAAAATCGATATAGGCTTTTTTCTTTTGTTGAGACTTAACAACCTAATTATATGAGAGGACAACATTATTTACATCTCATATTCTACACTCTATGACAGAAACAGTTCTGCAAGGAACAAAATGCTTTGGATTGCAGAGGAAAGCCACTGCATTGAATGAATTTCAAGGAAAACTTTTTGGGAAGAATGAACAACAAAATATAAAACAAGTTAAGTTAGAAGTGACCATGAGTGTCTAGCTAAGATGTGCAACAGTTCTGAATTTACTTGATATTAAATCTCCAGGACCTACAAGCAACTCATAACACCCAGTTACACCTCAGTCAGCTAAGAGCCTCCCCCCATCCCTCCCAGGTTTAGCATCTCTGTTTGCTGCAGGGTTTGTCAAGCAATTTGGAGAGTCTAAGGGGCTCCCGCCTCAGCTGTGAGCACTCCCTTGACACTATTTCATATAACAACATGGTTTTGTGTGAAAGACAGAAAGATACATTAGGTTTTGAGAGAGATAGGATCTCTTTATGTATTCAAAATAGCTATAGGCAAATCTCACACAAATTCAACTGAGTAACTACAGGCCCTGACAGAAAAACAATGTAAGGAAATTGGTGAACATAGATGAAAGTGCCAAAATAAAGACGGAAGAACTATAGGGGAAAAAATGCAACACTGCTCGGAAATTACTTTTCTTGTAAAAATGTTAATGTTCTATGAACAGATAACTCTGAAAAGACAGATGACTTATTATAAGTGACAGATAGTTAAATGAAAAATGCAAGAATTAATCTTTGAGTAAGACAAGCAAAATACTTTTCCCATAGTCAAAGAAATACCACAAATTACACTGCAGTGAAAGATTTGGAGTTCATCCTGACTGGGACACAAGGGACAACACATATGAAGACACCAACTAGAAAACTCTGCAAGTATTCTGCAGCTAGAAACATCTCACCGTTCTTGGTGGCTGTCACAATAGTTATCAACAATCTCTGCAAAGAGCCAGAAGATAACTATGCATTAAAAGTGTTCTTCCAACACACTTTAACCCATATAAATGATGCATGGGGCAAAAATCTCTGGATCGGATATCAGCGAATAATGCTAATTTTTTGCCTAGCAGAACTGCCGATGTGCCACTGCAATTCATAACCACCAAATCTGTGAAGGAAACTTCAAAAAGAATTCCTAAGATTTTTTTTAATAAAATAATAAAAAAATTCAGGTCCAACTACAAAACAGACTTAAGTACAATTTTTTTTTCCTCTCCACTTTGTTCCAATTACATGGATTATTTTCAGATCCTGAAAACCATTTTCCTTCATTTTTAATTTTTTCTTTTCTTATTTTGCCGTTTTCCTGAATGTATCTCATCCGTAGCAAACCTTTAATTTTCAAGAAGAATACTTCCATTTCTTTTCTTTCTGCAGAAACTGGGCAGTACTACACAGTAACTAAACTGAATTATATACAGGCAAACAAAATGGTACTTTATCATTGTGAATTTTAAAGGCAGAAAGCACAAATTGAAGGAAACAGGAACCAGCATGATGTACCAGAACTGCCCATGGTGCCCAATTGTGTTGTAAGTGCACACCAAGAACTGTGTGGGGAGTAACACTGATGCTGCCCTCCTTCACCTCTTACCGATGTCACATGTGTACACTGGATACAAAAGGACATCTTTTATCTGATAATCTGATACAAAAATATGCAGCTTCAGTAACTTAGTCTCAAAAAACCTAAATACCATCAGTTTAACAAAAAAAAAAAAAAAAAAAAACATAGACAAGAGTGACAAACATGTCCATGAATAGGGACAAAATCTAATGAGATTAGTAACATCTTAGCTTTGTTTTCTACTACATAAGAAATACACAGATGACTCTGACATTCACTCATGGAAATTACATTACCTACATAGTTTATAATTATGGTAAGGTAATACTATCATATTGTGTATATTTACACATGGAAAAATGTATTGCAAAACTTCTGAAAAATTATTTACAAAAACCAGATACATTTGTCTAACATTCACCAGGAAATGCCACAAAATTCTATTGCTATGCTTTTATCTCTCAAGACCAAGCTTATCGACCCTAATTCTATTTAATATATTACTTACAGAAATAAATACATCCCTTCAGATGCTTCAACTATATTTGACAGATTTGTGTTTGAGGAACAGCTAATGCATTCAAAGTGTCAAGAAAACTCAACCTTAAACCTTTGTCATGGCCGTATGGAAGGAATTCCAGAGCAAATGAAATGACAGCTACGGTCCATGAAACACTAATAGGATTTCCACGTGTTTAGTGTCTCATTATTGTTCGGACAATCGCACATTTTCTGTCTCAGTTGTGCTACAACTACTACTAGAACAAGACTGCAGAAAATAGCAGAGATCAAATGATGACATTAAGCCTATTTCCATACTACTGTTCCAGGGGAAAATAATATTCCTTACAATCAGTAAGAGCACGGTGGTGGTGGTGGTAACCAGAGCTGCACGTAGCTGCAGCAGCAATTCGGCATCTCAGGGGTGTAAGTGCCTCATGGCAATGATCCATACTCCTGAATGCCCTCCACAACAGAGGCGGAGACGAGGACAGTATTCAGAGCCAACTCAAACTTCAGAGCAGCCTTGATAAAACTGAATCTCACTATCCCCTAAATGAAAACAAACTCACTTATTCTGACTTCATCTTTTGGAAAGCAGGCTAGCAAAACTCAGCTCCGCAGCAGGCACAGGGCAGTTCAAGGGCACAGAGGCTGACAGGGGTCATAGAGGCAAGGGAAAGGAAATTTCCCTTCTGCACTCCAACCGTATTCCCCCAAATTCTAGTTCTCCTTTGTCTAACACCCAGTGTTTACTTTGGGTTACCCCCACCATGGCCAGCAGCTGAGACTTATGACCATCTATTTCTTAAACAGGTTGCTTATTGTCATATTTTGTACCTCCTCTTGCTCTTCCCCTCCTCCATAAGCAGTGCTAACAAGAGCTCCTGCATGGTCCCCCTGTGAGGAAAGGGCCCCCTTTCTGCTGCAGAACTGGGAAACGAGTTGGGTCAAAGGAACGAAGGAAGCAGTATTACCCTGAAGAGACCAGTTTGCCCTGTTTGGTTTTGCTAGGGTCTAAGGAAGATATGAAAGTGTCTGTAAGAGGCAGTGAAGGAAAAGAAGAAAATGTCTGAGAGGAATCAGAGTGCTGGTAGGCTGGATGAAGTCAGCTCAAAGGTTGGGTTAGACCCACAAACAGCCCCTTCCCTCCAGCCCAAGCACTGTCACATCTGTTACGCGAAATCAGATTGTTTCACTTAGCCCCAAGTACAATGGACAATATTAAGCTACAGCACAAGGAAAAAAGTACATATTTTTACTGACTATGGAAATCAAAATTGATATTATGGAATTATGATGTTGCTTTCTCCAGAGTCTGTGAAGGAGAAATACCATGACAGAAAAGTGAAACGT